AATGGAGGGAAGGAGGAGACGGGAGAGGTAATGTGGTCCAATTCAAGGTTTCTCAAATTTGAATGCCAAAAAGGGGTAGTTCCTTTAAATGTAAAATGTTCTCATGGAGGGTTGAAGAGAAGTCTCTTTCAACCCCAGTCTAAGGGACAGGGAATTAAGTCCCCAAAATATTAGCCTTTAAAATTATCTTTTCATTGTTAATTACCTCTGCAAAAGTAACTGTGAATTTGTGTATATAATTGAAATTAAAAGCAAAAGTTGGAATAGATCAAGAACATGCAGATACCTCAGGAAATGCCTAGGGACCCTATATGGTTTCAGAAACGCTGGTGGACCTGTAAAGAGCCTTAATTTCAGAGATAGACCTTGGCATCAAGACTCGGAATGTACCTGTTTTGTGATTGAGTGTAACGTCTTCACCTCTCTCCACTGATTTCATAAATGAGGAAAGAGGTCCAAAGACACCTATCTTGCAGGACTGTTGTGAATTTTATCACAGCGCTGGGCCTGCAGGGGTCAGGAATTGGTTATTAAGGAGAAGCTTTCTGTGTACCTTGTCATTCTGTGCTGGTTGTATTGAGTGAATGATCTCATTAGGTTGCAAAAACCTAATGATTTTGAGATTAGGAGTCTGAAACAGGAAAAATGAATTTGACCAAGGTCCTATCACCCTTAAGTGATAGCATTTGTCTCCACTACCCCCTTATGAAGTATGCAGAAAATGAAAGCAAGATTCTCGGTGCTAATCCTACATACCTTTGCTAGGAAACAAAATGCTACTAATAATTAAGAAAGTGGTCTAACAGACAGGGCATGGAGAGGGAAGATGTACACAGAGCTCAGGCAAAACATACCCTGGGAATTTCCTCCCAGACCCCAGGCCTCTATGTATCGAAAGTATCTTAATGATATGCTTAAATGAAGCAAAAACCAGAGCCTGGGCCCAAAGGACACTACATCTAGCAGGAGAAACCAGATGTACGTTCCTCAGCCAACTTTTCAGGATGACCACAGTATCTTATTTCTGATTCCACTCAATGTCTGGGCATGCCATAGATTTTTAAAACATCTCATTCATTTTGTGATTAAATTAGCAGTAGCTTTAAATCTGAAGGGAGGGTGGGAGGAAATGTAGCCAGGCCCACCCATTGCCTGTAGACCCCAGTTCAGGAAGAGAATTAGGGTGAGGTTCTAGAGAAATGAATGCTCAAGTCCACAGGTGAGGTCCTTAGCCTTTGGGGGCTAATTAAAACATCAATGGTGCCACGTATGTGAATATACCTATGTGTATCTGTGTTTTTCTCATGATGGGAGTGTAAATTGAAGCAACCTCTAGAAAGACATTTAGGCAATATGTATCATACAGTTTGACCTAGAATTTATTTCCTAAGAACCCATCCTACAAAAATATATATGTATACTCAATGATGTTTGTTACAAATGCTTCTTACAAAGATTAGTGGAAACAACCTAAAGGTATAAACAGAATATGGAAAAATAAAATAGGATACAATTACCCAATATGCCTCATATTAAAAAGAATGAGACCTGCCTTATGATCTAGCATGGGAAATTATTTTAAAAAATACAATTCAAAATATGTGCCATTTGTATCTCTTTAAAAAAAGGTGTAGTGCTCGCTTTGGCAGCACATATACTAAAAAAAAGGTGTATATTTTGTATGCATGTACTCATATACATTTGCATATACAAAGGAAACTAAAATGCTAAAGGGAAGGAAAATGGTAACGTGGTAGCTCCTGGCTTGGGAATTGAGAGAAAGTAGCAGGGTGACTTATTTTTCACTACATATCCTTTTTTAATAGTATGAAGTTTGATCCTATCCATTATGTTATTATAAAAAGTTATATTCGTTTTTAAGTAACATGGACCACATACCTCTACACTGGGGATTTAAAAGTTCTGGATCCTCCAAATACTTCAGCTCTGTGAGGTTTAGCAGTAAAAAGATGAAAGGTGCTTTCTCACTCAGTGAAGACTTTTTTTTTCCTTGATGTAAAAAACTCAGAAGAGGGGATTTCATCGTTAGTGTTTCAAAGAGATCAGAATCAAAGCTTTGTTAAAAGTTTCATGAGCATAGAAAAATATCACTACTACATTGAAACCTCATTCTAAAACCTAATTGAGTCTTTAAAAGTGTCTTGTAAGCAAAAACTGTAATGGGTAGTGACAATATAATTTAATGTAATTGTGATATTATCCCAAACAAGTGTTTACAATAGATTTTGATCGTTGTTCATCCCACAGAAGCCTTTCAAATAAGATGCTGAGATGTTTTTTTGGACCTGCAGTTAATTACATTCATGTCGTGTAATCAATCTTCTGTGTCTACCTTTCAGAAAGGAAGGCAGTTCCTTGTCTTTCTCAGTCAACTGTGCTCACATAAACAGAACATAGAAAACCATTCATACACTCAAGTTATACATAACATAGTAAAAATCACAAAACAGATCAGACTTACTTGGTTTTATTTTTAACTCTGGCAGATAGGATATCAAAATAATGTCTATACTTTTACATGTGTGGTTATAATTTGACATTATTTGGGCATATAGTTTTTGTTCGCTCGATATCATCTGTCACCGAACGTGGTGATAGTTTTCTTTGCATACAGGATGGCCTCTTAATTTTTTGGTTCTGTGTTGTCAAAATGTATTGCAATATTTTTTGTACTATGTGTATAAGACTATACACAGATACATTTAAAATAGCCTGACAATTGTTAGATCTTATGCAGTAATGATTACTGGTGTGTGTTTGCCATTGTGAAAAATTTGATAGACTGTCGTACATTTTCACCTTCGTTGGATGTTTTCTAGCTGTCACATAGGGGTAGTTCCACTAGGATTGTGACTTATGCCAGTCTCAGAATTCAGATGATAATTCAGATGAGAAGACGACTTTTGTATGCTAAGCTTGTTATTTAATCTCTATCTTAAACAGATGGCCGCGTAAAAATATGGGTTTATGGCGTTTCAGGTGGAGGTTTTCTTATCATGATTTTCCTAGTATTTACTTCCTACCTTCTTTGGTAAGTACTAACTAGCAAAACATTATATTCCATATTCTGATAGGTGAGGTATTATACTAAAAGATCCATGGCCATTATAACTGGACCCTTAACCCACAAATAATTTTCAGGAGTGGAATACTTGAAATCATTTATCTTTCCTGTCCTCATTTTACTATTTTGATTATTTTTCAGCTTTGACTGAATCTTAGCTTCTCTTAGTACCTCCTAGGGACTGAAACTTGGCTCCCAGGCCCAGTGATTCCGAGTTAATTAGCCTTGCCTCTGTCCAGGTCATCCAGATGTTTAAAAGCATCTCAGGTAATGCTAAAATGCAGCTAAGGCTAAGAGCATTCTAATTCTTAAAATGACCTATCGATCTTGACCGGTGGGTTCAAACAACCTGTTTAGTATATTTTAAATAGTAGAGCCATGTGTTTATCCACCTTGACCAGATCTGAGAAAATTTTCTGTCAATTCCGGGAACCCCATTTTGTGACTTTTTATTATTCTCAGAAAATGATGATTGGTTTACTGTACAGAATATACTTTAGTTGAGCTGCTCTTGAAACGAGACAGAAGTAAATACGTTTGAATGTTTTCAAGTGTTGAGAATATTTTGCCCAAGTTTTAATTTCAATTCAAATCCAGCCTTTGTGCATTTAGCCTCAAATTCTGTTTCCAAGGTTACACGGGTTTATAAATCTTTGGATCAGTGAAAATTGATGAAGAAAATAAGATGACTTTAATTCTTTCTGCTACCTATAGTGCTAGAAATTGAATCTAACTAATGTTTCCATAGTGCTGTAGTAAAAAGTAACACCTTTGGTTAGTTCTTCACCCTACAATCAAATGATTTGACCAATTTTTATGTCTCAATTGAAAAATTTTGTGTGTATTCCTAGATCCTGTTTGTCTTAATGAACAAATGTGAAGGTGAAAGCCCCTTAAATGAGGTTCAGAGTAGTAGGATGCATTCATCACTAGAAAAGATTAAAAAAGGAGGAAAAGGTCTGATAAGTGCAACAAAAGACATGAAGGTTTGACAGATGAGAAACTTCTCCGACAGTAATGGCCCAACACAGTGTAAGGGAATAAGATAGTTTGTTCTTTTGTAAAAGCTTAGATGTATCATCATTGTTATTGTTAATTCTGAATCTCTTAGGTATTCCAGGGAAGAGGGAACCATAGGATTTGGAATTGGGGATGTAGTAATTTAATTTATAGTAACAGTCATTAAATTTGCCTTTTTACATTTCTCTATTCCTTCAAGAATAAATATTTATTGAGGTCCTTTCTGAATGACTCTCAACTCTGGGGATTAATTAGGTACATCACTGAATTCTGGAAACAATTTTCTAGAGAATTTTTTAAAGATCAATGCAATTTTCCCTTACCTTTCAGTGACCAAATTACATAAATTAGTCTTCCTAAAATTTAGCCAGATGATCAGCCCCTCTCCTACTCAGACACCAGCAGTGACTTTGACAGCAAAATAAAATCATGTTTTGGCTGCCTAACCAGCCAACTAAATGCTTCCACAATAAGCTTGAACAATCCTTGCAATTTCACTTCTATTTCCCTATGCCTTGGATAGTCTGCTGTGTTCTATAAGCCCAAATCTATTTTTCTCATTGAAGACCTTTTTTTTAAAAAATCACCTCCTTTATAAATTATTTTGATAAAATGGTAATTTTGTACTGGAATATTTAACCCAAGTGTTTAGTTCTACATTCCCATCAATCTTAGTTCATTATAATATACGCATTTTCTCTACTTTCATAAGAGGCTGTGTCCATCTTCGTCATTGCTTTAATTCCCTTTCCACAGTCAGGTTCAGTTTTTCAAGTTTACCATCTTCGTTTCTATCTAAGTTGTTGAGGTACAGCACTTTCAGTCTCCTTGTGTTGCTGTTTCAGAAGTTTTACCCCAAGACCCCCCCTGTACCCATTCACACGTATTAGGGAAGTTCACCATTTTACTGGTACTGTGCATGTATATTTTTGATGACTTATGTATTTTTTTGTATTATAAACTCTTCATTATATGAAAAACTTATAAGTACTGAATGTAAGGGTACTTACAGTGGTACTTTCTAATTTTACAAGGAGGCTTCTTCTGCTTCCTTCTTCGATCCCATTCCCCTCCAGAATGAATTTTTACCATTAGCTATTGACACTTTATTGGTTCTTCCCAGTAAAATGCAAATGCCAGCATTTTCCCAAATAGTCTGGAATCACTTGTCCCTTCTTCCTTGTCTCTGGCATTTACTCTAGGCTGTGATTATAGTTGTTTCTTTAATATCTTCCTCCTCTACCACCCAAAGTAGAATAGTGGATGAATAAGTATTTTACGTAGGTTGCCTTTTCAGTCCTCACAATTATCTACCAAGTTGTTGCTTTATGATACCCATTTTAAAGAGACCTAAGTTATTGAACTTTTCTGAGGATCACTTACCTGAGGTCATCAGCCTGGTAAACTCACCTCTAGGTTTGCCTAGGCCCAGAGATTATGCTCTTTCCATGGGTCTTCTAGTCTGCAATTTCTTTCTCTTGTGATCCTAAAAACTCGTTAGATTCAATGTAGTGGCTACAGTTTTCATATTTTTTTAGAGGCTCCTTGTTTCCCAAATAAGCTATAGACCTCGGAACAGACCTATTGTATCAAAACACATACCATTTACTGTTACATATGAGCTGCCTAAAGAGTCCAAATAGATACTTTCACGGCATTTATTTCTATTAAATAGCTTGCAGAGGAGTTAGAAGATGACAGTTTTGGAGATTTCATATTTTCTCCCCAAAATATAAAAGGCTTAGGACTAGAGAACTGCTATAATATGCCAGGCCTTAGGTGTATACTTTAGATGAAAGCAATTTATAATAAAACTTAGAAATGCTTTTGAGAGAATATAGAAAAATCATCTTCCTAAGGACCACTTCGTTCAAATACAACCCTTTGTACATCTACCATTAGTGTTCGAAGTTTTTGAAATATTACTGGTGCCCCTGCTCCCCTGGCAGTAAAGATCCATGAGGCAATTTAGCAAAGACGAGCACTGGGTGAGCGTGTAGTTAATCTAAACATAGTGCCAGAAAATTGCTCGAGATAACTATAGCATATCTATCCTGCCCTGCCCAGTGCAACTCAGTAAACGGGTCCTCGTTCTGCCCAAGTTTGGGAGTAGTGCCCCCACTACCAGAGGCTCTGCCCTCAGGAGTGACTGCCTAAGCCAAAGACCATTTCAGGCTTTCATCAAGCTATTTAATCTCTACTGCCCTGGGGATGGGTCCTTGGGGCTTGAATTCAGTGGTGCTGTTAAGTCCCATCAGTCTGCTTTGCGGGCTTCATGGGTTTGTTCTTTGCTAAAATGCAAATGATCACGGAAGAGGTCACTTTAAACGCGTGTCATGCAATGGTCTCTTACAGCCAATGTTGTGTAATAGCTTTATCCCTGTGCCAACCCTGAAAGTGGTGGTGGCTGTCAAGAGTGCTCCATTAGGAAGAGTTATGAGGCAACACCTCAGTCGGACAGGGAAAAATAGTGTGACAGATTAGCGATCCACTGTGGGTACAGGATGAGTGGTGGTGGCCTATGAGGCAGGCATTTGCGGGTCCTGATTTAGTGTGAAGTGGTCACACCTTTCCTGATATCGGAGTTGAAGAGAAAAAATATTTTTTAAAAAATACTTCTTACGGGAAAAATGAGTACCAGTAAGGGAGAAAGGAAAGAGAGCAGGGCCTCTCAAGACAGGTCTCCTAGTTGCTGGCATTGCTAAGGACAGCCCCTCCCCTCAGAGATCTTAACTAGTCAGGAAACCATAAACTCTCAGCTACCCAGCATGTACCACTTAGTTTACCAGCATTTAAGAACTTTCAAACTCTAAAATTTCTCAACTCTCATATATTCATAGTTATGATATTAGTATCAGCTAAGAGGTTAAACAAACAATTTGAAGGGATTCGTAAAAAATGAGGTCTTCATCCAAATGATCCCCAACACACCCCATGGCCCACAAGGATTTAAAGCCTACACAATAGGAGACCCCTCTTTTTTCCCCATAATCCCATACATGGAAACTCATTCATAAAAATCTCTCTAATATTTTGAGAATTTTATAGGCTCAACAAACAGGCTGGCCAAGTTTAGATGTCTCCCAGGCAATATCAATTTAAAGATCCCACCATCTCTGTCCCTCTTCCCCACTCCCCCGGACTCAGCTCTTCTTTCATTTCTCTCTGCCCATTCGCCCTTGGCAAATGCTAATTAAGAATGGATTGTCAGAAACTTTCTGGAAGCACCCACGTTTCTTCATCTCTCTTCCTTTCTCCTCCAAAAGGCAGGAGATACAGGGTGGAGATGATCCCAACTCTCGTTTTAGTTGAACTATCTCATTATTAGGACAACCTTCACTATCACCAGAACCACCACAGTAGAGGCACAAGCTGTCACTTCCAAGTTGTCCTAAACTGTGGTGTGATTTTGTAGTACATTGAAATGCTGCAGATTAGCATGCTCTGGACCCTCATTTCAAGGTGGGCCCATTCTCTATGCTAGAGACAGGACCAAGCAATAGAACTAGAGCCACTGGAATATACTTATATATAAAGTTAAGTTGAATATTCTAATAATTATACAGTGAATACCCTTTTGAGAAGCACAAAATCAGAGACTAAGGTTACCATGGCAGAGGATGCTAGAGCAGGTTTCGGCCTATCCTCAGCTCATCACCCACTGAGCATCCACTGCACCCCAAATGCCAGGCAGGAACACTGATAGGATCTGTGGTTTTTCCTTTAGTGATTTTTAAAATCATTTTTCTTATTTTTGCAATGTTCATTATCAAACCAAAAAAACTGTTTTAGAACTTGAGCATTTAAACTAGGTGATTCTACCTAGACTCATTTTAATTCTATCAAGCATCTCTTTTTGTGTATGTGGTAAAAATTCACATAATACAAGCCGCCATTTTAACCATTAAGGGAAAGAAGCCAGACAGGCCACATATAGTGTGACTCCATCTGTATGAAATATCCAGAATAGGCAAATCCCTAAGAGGTAGAAAGTTAAGTGATTGCCAGGGGCTGGGGGTAGGGGAAATAGGAAGACTACTTTGGTGGGTACAGTTTTTTTTCTTTGGGGGGTGATGAAAATGTTCTGGAATTAGATAAGATGATGGTTACACAGCATTGTGAATATGCTAAATGCCACTGAATTGTACACATGAAAATGTGTTTTTAATTTAAGTTCAAAGTATAAAAATTCCCACATACAGACAAAATGTTGTACCACATGCCAAGTTAATGGCATGGACACAGAGAGAGTGCACTGAAGAGGTTAAGGGCCTGGGCCTGTGTGTTAGACGTGCTTAAATTTCAGCCTCAGCCACTCAGTGACTTGGGGGAAGGTAAGTAACCTCTTTAGTCCTTCTCTGTAAAGTATTGACCCTAATGCTCCCCCCCGTCTCAGGGTTGTTCTGGGTTAATTGAGATATTTTATGTAGAATGCTGAGCACAAGGTAGGCACTTAGTATACTTCCAATTAATAATCGATGCTATATAAAATAAACAAATTTGGAGACAAGGAAAGAGTTGGCTCCATGCTGGTAAGGACCACCCCAAAGGTCTGGGCTCTGAAGGCATGGCAAAGCCAAGGCACTGAGGAAGGAGGAAGGAAGGAGGAGAAACAGTATGGTAGGGGTGGGGCACGATGTGGCAAAATTCAAACTATAAACATTCATAAAGAGAAATTGAGTTTTGCCCATACTAAAGAAACAAAGTGTAATGCAGGTTGTTTTGCCCCAGATCTGGGCCATCACTGTGTGATTGGCCAAGGTTACTCAACTTCAACTTCTCTATGAGAAGGAAGAGCTGCCCTCCTTGACCTGGCAAAGTTGTCAACCTCAGGTAAAACAGAGACCAGGTGAGAGTGGCTCTGCATGGTGCAAGATCAAAGTTTCCTGACAGGCTCGGGTGTCATGGCATCTAAATGTCAGGTTCCAGGCCAGAGCAGAAGTGTGTTTACTTAAGAACCACACCAGGGTAAGGCAGAGGAGTCTGGCTGCTCCTATGAAACATCTCTGATACGAGGGTCACAGTAGCTTGGCAATTAGTGAACAGCAGATGTTTGCATTACTGAGTATAAACAAGAACAAGTAGCCCTCTACCAAGTTCATTGTTTCTATGAAACCATTTTTAAGATTTTGAAAAAATGATTGCTTACCCTTAAAATAGGGATAAAATATACAAAGTATTCAAAAAAGAAACGCACAGGTTCAGAGCACTCTATCTTTTGTCATTTAACTACATGAATTTCTATACCTCATAATTGTCTTTGGCAGATGAAACAGAACTCTGTGAACCTTTATCTGAGGAATTCTTTTCCCTTTGCAGCAAGAAACCAAAACCACATCAAAGCACACCTCCCCAACAGAAGCCTCTGACCTTAGCCTACGATGGAGACTTAGACATGTAACCTGAAAAGAAATCCAAATGTAGACATCAACTGCCTTAACCGCTTTCTCTTTTGTAGCTCTCAGACTTCTCAGTTTTTTGAGGAATCTCTTGCTGTGATACATTGGGCAGAATACAAAAATTGCAAAAGTAATGTTACCTAACTTCATTTGGACATGGAGTCAAGGATTATTAGGTCTGCCATTTTGCTTTCAAGTTGTTTGTGGGTGTGTGTTTAATTTTTTGATTTTCCCAAGGGTCCTGAAAACCCTTCTCTTCCTGTTTGGAAATGGGAGGAAGAAAACATGATGGAATTCCCACAGACTTCAGTAAACTTTATCTTCAGCAGCATGATGACAATCTGGAGGAAAGTCCAATCAAGGCATTTACTGTAAATGATGAGCCTGACACTGCTTTTATGCACTATATTAGTGCAAGTCTTTATTCTTCCCATACTTCAACACTGAGTTTTCTAGAGTTTACATTGGTTCAAAGACTTTCAAATTGGATTGCCTATTTTCATGAACACAGAGAGAATGGTTTACCATTTCAGAAATTCTCTGAGTTTTTACCTTTAAATATTGTATTTTGTTTTGTAGCCAGGGGATGATGGCACTTCATGGGTTGCATTTATTGAAAAAAAAAAATGGAGTGGGCATAACTGCTGGTCTAGATGAAAGCTAGGTGGTTTCTGAATGAAGTATGTATTGAGTGTTAGGTGGTTATATTGGAGAATGAGGTAGATTATTTGATTACTAACACTATTTTAACAGAAACTTAGCCATGTAGATATAGTACTATACCATACACACTTGTAATTCAGTTTAATGATGACAAACTCTGCTTTTGTAATTTCAATTTTCTCTGAATATTTATAAATTCTTTTTTTGAATTTAATTCTCTGACCTCACTTAATATACATCAAACACCAATCCTGTTTGTAGCAAGTCTTGCTTTTATAAGGTTTCAATAATACCTAAACACATTAAAAAGCTGAAACCATTTTATGAAGATAATTGTTTGTAATTGTACATGTTGAGAGTAAGAAGGTGCCATCTTGTGGTATTGACTTGTATTTATAACAAATAAAGTGCTCAAGAAGATGTTGCCTATTCTAGATTTATTCACTTATGAAATGCCCTTGCTTTGACAAAAACAGTTTTACTGACAGTTTCCCTGTGTCACTACTGTAGGGGTTGACAGATGAAATCACTACCACAGGAAAGGATTCTTATTTCACATTCTCAACACTAGCGAGTACACCATGAAATAGAGCCAACTACAATTACACAGAGTAGCTCTGAAGGAATATTTAAAGCTCATTTAATATTAGAACAAACCACTGAAATAGGGCAAACACTGATATGCCAACGTCCTAAGAAAATGGGAATGTTAGAGGATGTTTTCATTTGTCCTATGACTTTTGTTAAGCATTTAATGCTGATTAACTGGTTTTGTCCAATGACACTATGGTTTAAAAAGAAAAAAATTAATGAAAATAGGATGGCTTATATTTATAGTGTCACTGAGAAAACACCCCCTAGAGTTGGCCTCTTATTAGTTCACTTAAATGAAAGCATCAACTGGTTCATAGTAATTCAAGAGATCCTGCTTCAGAAATCAAATCTTGGCTGTGCCCTTTACCCATGTATGATCCACCATAAGGACTGCAAATTATCTCTTGTTTCACCCACACAATGAAGATAATGAAATCATTTTCCTCTTAGGTTAGACATAGAAAAATGTCAGATGGGTTTGTGGTTCAAAATGGCAATGTAAGAGGATTGCCAACTTAACACCCCCCTCCCCAGACAGACACATCAAAATCTACAGCTTCCTATGGAAAAATTCCCAATGAAATAAACCCGCAAAATAACTGAGCAACTCCTACACATCAAGCAAATGAGAAAATACATCAGGACAGGAGAAGCTGAGACATAATCTCACCATAAGCCCCATGCATGGTGCAGTGACCCACAACTGGAAGGGAACTCACAACCTCAAGCTTCTCCCGCAGGAGCAAAGGTTTGAACCCCACTTTTGGCACCCCAACTTTTAAGACCTGTACCTGTGAGATGCCCCCCAAACCATCTACCTTTGAAAGCCAGTGGGACTTGCATCACAAAACCCCCGCTAGAAAACTGAGAACTAGTTCTTGAAAGATTCACACAGACTCACCATGGCTAACCTCTGGGGCACAGCATACAGGCAGCGGTCTTTCTATGAAAGAGGCTATCTGCATATCTTAAAAGCTTTGACCTGAGGGTCAGGTATCTAAGCACACATTTAGGGCCCTACTAAGATACAAAGACCATGGAGGCTGGTGGATCCCATCTTTACGTTCTCCCATGACCTTGTTCAGGTGGCCACTATCTCCTAGAAAGGAGACTGTACATGCATCTGGGGCCCTGGTTTTTGTGGCTGCAAACCAGGGGAGGACTCCTGATCACCTGACTGGTGGCCACTGGGCATTGTGTTCATAGGTTCAATGAAAAGATATCAAACAGCAAACAGTACTTAACTGGCCATTACCCCAGGGCTCCGTGAAGAAGGAGCAGATAGAAAAGCCCATCTCCTAGTCATCTCCTATAAGAGGTCTATTTGCATAGCTTAAAAGCTGTCGCCTGAGGATCCAGCTTCCAATCAGCCTGAATCTTAAGTGTTGGTTGAGATCCTCCCCTTTGGGACAGTAACAGGTGTTGGCAGACCCTCACCTACTGAGAGCCACAAAGAACTAAGTAGGTTGTTTCGACAGTGACAAAGGTTTGATAGACCAGCAGGGTTAATCAAAAAGGCTCATCTATGCAAAGCCTACTCCTTCAAAACTGGTAGAGGTGGCTGTTTCATCCAATGGATAGAAACCCAACAGAAAGTCAAGGAAAATGAAGAAACAGAGAAATATGTTCAAATGAAAGAACAAGATAAAACTTTAGGAAAAGACTTAATGAAACAAAGATACATGATTTATATGACAAAGTGTCCAAAGGTCACTGGCCCATCTATATGCTGCCTACAAGAGACTTGTTTCAGATCTAAGGACACATACAGACTGCAAATGGGGAGATGGAGAAAGATTATTTCATGCAAGTAGAAACCAAAAGCTAGGATGGCTATACTTATATCACAGAAAATAGACTTTTAAACAGACTGTAATCAGAGACAAAGAACATCATTACATAATGATCAATGGTCAATACAAAAAGTATATAAAGTGTGTAAATATTTATGTGCCCAATATAGGAGCACCTAAAATCTAGAAAGCAAACATCAATAGACCTAAAGGGAGAAATAGTAATACAATAATAGGGAGCATTATTTCCCCACTTTCATAGATCAAAATCAATAAGGGAAACAGCCTTAAATAACATGTTAGACCAGATGGACTTGACATGTACAAGACACTTTATCCCAAAGCAGAACGCACATTCTTGTCAAGCACACATGCAACATTCTCACACAAAGTATAATAAATTCGAGAAGACTAAAATACCAAGCATCTTTTCTAAACACAGTGATATGAAACTAGAAATCAACTACAAGAAAACTAGAAAATCCCCATATATGTAAAGATTAAACAACGTGCATTGTAAAACCTATAGTGATAATGTTAATGCATATATTATAATGATAATGCCTACGTCAAGAAACAAGAAGGATCTTAGGAAGGAGGCAAAGTATGAGGATCCTGAGCTCACTGCCTCCCATGGACACACAACTGCATGTATTGCACCTCACTCTAAAAACCACCTGAAAACAGGCAAAACAGATCATCCACAGCTAACATCTTAAGAACAAAGACATATTGAAAAGGGTAGGAAGGGCAGAGATGTGGTCAGGAACCCCCAGCATGGCTACCCACAAGTGAAAAGGATATCATAAACATGGAAGAGTGAGGGGATCAAGCCCCACACTTGGCATCCCTAGCCGTGGGAACCCGTGCCAGGAAAATTGGTCCACATAACATCTGGCTTTGAAAATCAGTGGGATTTAACTCTGGGAAATCCAGAGAGCTATAGAAAACCAAGCCTCTGCACTTAAAGAACCAGCACACATATCACTTAGTCTGAGACCCAGCACAGAAACAACAGTTTGAAAAGCACTTCCTTTATACATGAAGATTTATTGACTAATTTTAGGACATGTGCCAGAGGGTCAGGGATCTACAGAAGCTTTCTCTGGAAATAGAAGTGCTGGTGGGCATCATTTTTCTTGTCCTCCATCAGCCTGAATAGTCAGAGGCTTTTGGGAGCCTGTTCTGACATCGTCCATTTATCTTCCCAGGACTGCTTGCCCACCCCATCATTTCCACGTAGACCTGCCCCACCCAACCCACCCACCCCAGCAGGTGCCCTTTCAAAGTGGCTCCTGCCCCACTACACCCAGCAGGCAGACTCAGCTCAGGCCAGCATCTCCCCAAAGTGGCCCACCACACCCGGAAGGCAGTCCTAGCTGGGACTGATGCACCAAAGCTGTCTTCTCCAGAGAAGAGGGGAGCTGATCGCAACAAGCAGTACCCCTGTACAATCTGCAGCTGGGACTCTCAGCTAACCAAGATAGGAGCAGGCCCTGCCCACCAGTGCACCCACAGCAGTAGCAACCAAATATTTCAGACAGTGGGGCTGAGAGCTAGCCCCACTTGACACGAAGTCTGCAGTGGCTCTAGCCAGGCCTCTCAGCTAACAGTGCTGTGTGCAAACCCTACCCACCAGCACACCTACAGAAGCTGCAACTGGGTCTTTCAGCTGGCTGTGCAGAGGGCAGTTCCTACCAACCAGCGTGCACAGAACAGTTGCAGCCTACCATTGCAGACAGCCTAGCTGAGAGCCAGCCTCCCCTGCCCCCACCAGCCCACATAAAGCTTTTGCAGCAGGGCTTCTCAGCCAGCCATTATAAGGACAAGCCCTGCCCATCAGCACACCACCAGAAGCTGCTGCTCAACCACAAAAGGAGAGCACATACAACCCACACAGGATACATCACTGGATCAACTGGTCCTGGTAGGGCACCACAAGATGCTTTCTA